TGATGGTCCTCACTTGATCCGAGACTGTCCGAAGAAAAAGACCTTCTATGCGATGGTTTTGCAAGAAGAAGAAGATGAAGCACAAATAAGCTCAATGCGTTTTTTGAACTCAATATCAAAAGATGAGATAAAATCTTCTAAGAAGGAAGAAAATAAAGGAGGGAGTCTCATGTTCGTCGAAGTTAAAGTGAATGCAAGGAACACTAAGGCGCTAGTAGATTCTGGAGCAACCCATAGTTTCATCGCAGAGGAAGAAGCAAGGAAGTTGGGTATTCATTATACAAAGGAGTTAGGTCGGTTGAAGGTTGTCAACTCTCCATCTAATCCGATCCTCGGAGTTTCTCGTGGAATACCCATGAAGATCGCAGAATGGGAAGGGACCATCGACTTGATAGTGGTTCCGATGGACGACTATCGCATGGTACTAGGAATGGATTTCCTGGATATGGTATGTCCTTGGTCGTTCGAAAGAGACAACACCCTGCGTATAACCAAGGGATCAACTATCCATATAATTCCCTTGGAATGAAGAAAGACAAAAGCTCGATCCCTTTCAACTATGAAGATGTGTTATGACCAGAGCAATATAATCAAGAAGAATATGAAGCCAAAAGGGGAAGTTCGAATAAGCGAGGCACGTTTGAAGGAACAGGGATCCATATCCCACATGAAGAGCTACTCAAGGTGTTACGAGGCTGAAAGAAGAAATAGGATTCAAAGTACATTGAGAAATAAAAGCACGCCTTACTCGAAGAGATACTTTGGAGAAAACGAAAAGACGCGAAGTAGCCCCGTTAAAACATCGAGACATATGTATAGAAGACTTGACGAGGACGTCAAGGGTTTAAGTGGGGGAGGGTGTCACGGACCAGGTTTCTAGAAAATTCCACAATCGTCTAGAGAACTCCGGAACGATCAAGTATATTCGAGAAGTCTCCGGAGAGATCATGAATGCTCTACGAGACCCTGGAAGATGATAGAATATTGTAGATATCCGTGGAACAAAGGAGAACGATCCGGAATAATCAAGAGGACGCTAGACGAAGCTAGAACGACCTGGAAGACTTTGGAATGATCTAGAATATGCTAGATCATACAAGAGCAATATGGATAATATCGGAACAACCTAGAACCTTCTAGAGCATCGTAGACAAGTATACCATTTTCTAGAGTCATGTAAAGGCCATGTAAATAATAAGAAGAATCTAGATTAGTCAAGAAAGATCGGGACCTAGAAACTTCCATTTGAGGAGGTGTAAGGTGCCTATAAATAGGAAGGATGTCTCATTTGTAGGAATCATTGGAAAATTTTCCTTGTAAAGTAGTCGAGTCTTATATATAAGTTTCGTTTCTTACTTCGTAACATTCCTTATCACATCTCTTGCTATCCTAGTCGTTAGTACATCGTAAGGAAGCGTTCCAAGCCTGACTTAGTCGAAGAAGCACTAAGTGGCACACGGTATTGACTAGTCTAAAAGAGTCATCCCGTGACAATTAGCCTAAAAACATATATGCAAATTAAACCCGAGAGAGATTGAGAAATCACCTGAATTTTGCTCTCAACTTTGTCTATTGATTAAAGCTTATAGTGACCCACCATTCCACGCATTTTTTGGCTGACCATTATCATGCTTGATCAAACGAAAGGTGTATCCAATAAGACAGTAGGAGTTTCCCAGCAGCACTGATATGACATCCATGAAGAAGATTAATTTTCCACATCCACATCCAAGAGGAAACAGGAAACATAATCTTTCACTTTTCGCTTAATTTGTCGACAATGCCTTCATTTGATAGAGAGAAACAAGAAAAATAACAACGTGAAATTTTTGAACCTTGAATACCCTTTATGAAATAGCGTGTGTTAACTACTGGGCTCCTGTCTTGGGGGTATATTAATGGGATAAGAGATTGTTGGTCTCTCCCATTTTTCTTTTCTTGCATTATATTCCAGATGGTCATCTCGGAACACATGTTTCTTCCCCAGGAAAACATAATTCGATATATCTTTATCCATTCTATCAGTCCACGACATTTGATCTAAGGCATCGACATCATGAGCCTCCTTTCTTTCTTCATCAAGTAGTTCTTCGTAATCTTCGTATATAAGGTTTATACAACATTCCTCTACACGTATTATATGCGAAAAGACACGTATGATGATTTCATCTCCACCCTCCAACAAATTGCCACACCTCCAAAGGCTTAACATTGCGAACTTTCCTGCATTCTTACGGATATTTTGATCTCTTTTAAAGTAACTCCAAAGCAAATCTTTGGTCTTGTTTTGTACTCCAATCTCCAGATCAAGACCCATTTGCAAGAATGAAAGAGAAAGAACGACACACATAATAAAGCCAATTATTCTCAAACTATTACCATACGAAGGAACTTTAAACAAAATTTCTGAGCCCATTTCTTTATACATGAAGCAGGAATAAGAAGGGGTTTGTTTTTCTGAAACAAATGTGCTGAATATGCCAAACTCATGAAACACCTGTGACACACTCACACATACATCTTATTAGTTATTAATTTTGATTCTTGGCATTAGCTTATAAAACAAATATCCAAAGAAGAGATAGAGAAAGAAAAAGCACCTCAAGATCCAATTCCATTCCTTCACATGCATTTGATTCTAATCCTAGATATCGTATAATTTTCCTCTCAACTTTATCTATTGACTGAATTTTATGACCCTCGATCTCACACAGTTTTGGGCAGTTCATGTGGTGCACTACAGTCCTTGAATTTTCTGCAGGTTGTACTTTTTCCAAAGATTCATTGTCATTGACAAACAGTTCATTGATAGAATTTGGGAGACCTAAAACTGATTGGAGTTTGTGAGACTCTGAGCACTTCAATTCTCGGTAGGGTTTGAACACATTTTGGTAGGAAGGTTATATTGTTTCCATCTATATTCAACTTCACGAGTGAGACCATGCTACTCCATTCATCTGGGAAAGAATTGTCAAAGAGATAGGAGTGTGACAAATTCACTTCCGTTAAAAAGAAAAGTGATGAAAATGAACCCAAACCATGATCAACTCTTCCAAGAACTCCACAACCAGACATTTGAAGCGAGTCAAGGGATCTAGGTAAGCACGGAAGATCCCTCAAGCTTATACAATAGCTTAGATCTAATGAGTATAGTTCTGTAAGGTTTGCAAACGATCCAAGAACTTCAAGCTTTTTGCAACCATACAATTTAAGATAATTAAGGGATCTACGTAAGTGTGGAAGATCTCTCAAGCTTTCACAATTGGTTAGATCTAATGAGTATAGTTGTGTATGGTTTGAAAACGATCCAAGAACTTCAAGCTTTTTGCATCCATTCATATAGAGCAATTCAATGGAACTAGGCAAGCACCAAAGATTCCTCAAGCTTTCACAATCGCTTAGATCCAATGAGCGTAGTTTTTTAAGGTCTGCAATCGATCCAAGAACTTCAAGGTTTTTGCAACCAGATATTTGAAGCAATTCAACGGATCTAGGTAAGCATGGAAGATCCCTCAAGCTTCTAAAATTGGTTAGATCTAACGAATTTAGTTTTTTAAGGTATGGAATCAATTCACCAACCTTGATTAAACTCCAACAATGTCTCAGGATCAAGCTCTTCAGATAAGGGAGTCCGCCAAAATCAGGGGTTTCAATTAGGTCAAATGAATAACTAAGATTAAGGATTTTTAAGGATCCAATGTACTGTAACACGAAAAACTAGAATTATATAAAGAACTTTCTACATAAACATCTTATAAAATAATAATTTGATAACTAACAAACACTCCAAAACTGAAATGGTGATGCAAGAAGACGTACCATGAAGTCATCCCAAACACGTATTAATTTGCTGTAACTCATGTCAAGTATCACCAATAACTTCTCCAATGAAATGTCACCAGGTATAGCTTTAAGAGAAAATCCGTGCCAACTCAACAATCATAACTTTCTGGGAAAATTCTTGTATTTCCCATAAAATACTACATTTTTAAGTTGAAGTAGAATTAGACTCTTCATCTTCTCCAGGGCACCAATTTGGAAATATGCATCATCATCTCTTGATTTGGCTTCCATGATCTTTGTATATCAAGTGTGAGTCCTACAGTTTCTGTACCCTAGTTAAGAAATTCAAAAAGGTAAACTATGGCTCAACATGCATGATTACTTAAGTAGTAATATACAAAAGGGGTGTGTAAACATACGGTATGGTCTTGCAACACATCAATACATTCCTGGTGGTCCCACAATCTACTTCTTTTCCCAGGTTCCTTTTCTGATTCCTGGCGAACAACTTCTTGATTAATTGATGCATCATCACTCTCCCATATTCAACGTAAACTAGACATCTATCCATTAGATTCTTGATCCCAACAACAGGGTGTAGATTACATTCAGTCAATAATTTCACAATGTAGTCTGTTTCCTCACCCTCGAGGAAGAAAGCAATATGCAAGAATAAACCTTTATCCTTGTCATCTGCCAAAGTTTCATAGCTTATTTGTAGAACTTCTTGAATCTCACGATGAGGAATTGCAGCCAGTTTTTGAATTGCATCTTCCCATTCATCATTTTTCTTTTCACGTAGGGAAGATCCCAATACTTTAAGAGCCAAAGGAAGGCCCTTGCAGCGCTGAACAACTAATTCTAAGTGGACAATATAGGGTTCAACGGGTTGGTGTTGTTGGAAATTTAGTAAAAATATTTATATTTTTTACTAACTTTGGACATATATAAATATATACATATGTTGTATATATAACGAACTCTAAGTGGGTTTGTGTTCTCCTCCATAGAGTAATGTGGGAATGCGTTGTATATATAATGAACTCTAAGTTGGTTTGTGTTCTCTTCGAAACGATATATTATATGTCCAAAATAGAGTATAAGTGAATGAGATATCGATACTCAAAGATAGGTATTTGAGAATAAGTTTAGCAAAAGAGAGGAATGTGGGAATGCGTCCCACATTGGTAGAGAGACCAAACTCAACAAAGTTTATAAGCTTCATTGCATGGAAGGTTTACAAGCTTGTGTCTATGGTTATGCTACAATTCCTACCCGTGTGCACGGGGGTGCAAATCTTGGTTCCGTAGACCAAAAACACCAAACTCGTGCATGGACACGAATGCAGCTCCGAAAACTCGGGTGCGTGCTACCCTATTTTTGCTAAACTTGATAGTTTTGGTCCCTATTTTTTTGAATTCTGTAACGGATGCATTAATTGTGTAATTAATTGCCATTAAACGCTCAATCAATTAATGATTTGTTTCCGTTTCACGATTCGACTGTAAAAGAAGACCTTGCCTTCTCATTTAGACACACGAATGAATTTACTCTTCTTCTTCTTCCTTCTCAACTTCCGATGATTCTTTCAGGCAAGTGGTTATCTCTATCAGTACACAATACTGTTTAGGTTGTTGTACCCTGGGAACAGACAGCGAATCTGTTTAAGGGAATTGAGTCCAACTCGAGCCTCAGCCACATCGTTTGCATCTAATCTTTCTTTACAGGAACCTTTCAAGGACGGAAATTGAAGACGTTGTACTAACAGGTGTTGACCAAAGGCATGCAAACTAAGGAGCTCAGTAGCGTCACCTATGGATAATGTTCCAAGGGAGTGGACCTTACCATGATCTTTGAAAGCAGTCAACAACCATGTGTGCCTAGTTGTTATGATCACTTTACTTCCAGGATAAAACCTTTTCGGTCCTAGTAAGGCATCTAACTGTTCCATTGTTGCAACATCATCAAGGATAAGAAGTACCTTTTTGTTGGATATGACATTTGTCACCTTATTGATTCCTTCATCAATATTCCATATAGTTTCTTCTTTTTCACTCCTTAAAATAGTGGAAAGAAGCTGACTCTCGAAGCGATTGAGTGTACTATTTTTATTCGACGTCTCCTTATTAATATCTGCCAGAAAGCAACTGTCATCATAGTTACGAAAGTTTAAGTTAAATATGCATTTGGCTATAGTTGATTTCCCAATGCCTCCCATCCCATCAATGACAAGGACTACTGCATCAAGTGACCAATCTTTTAACCAAGATTGGATCTCAGCAAGATGGTCCTTTATTCCCACTAGTTTCTCCTCAATGTGTAGGGCCTTGTTGTCCACTTTCTTTATAACAACATTTAGAATAGTGATTATGAATTTGGACTCGTACCTAGAGAGTTCAAATTAAAGAAATTAGATTTGTAATGTACTTGTTTATTATACAAATGATATATACCATATGTATGAATGAAAGATGCATCTTTATTTGAATAATACAATCTTCAAAATCCTATATCCTATCTTTATCTTTTAAAGTTCAAAGTTTTGGAAAAAATTGTTGAGAATATGATAAACAAATAATTTTTGACAACTTATTTTATTAAAAAACCAATATATCAAAATTCATGAATTTTCATTCTCTATAAATAAACATTTATCTTGATGTAGTTCTTTTTAGTATAGATACAAAATTTTTATTTTCTTATATCAGCTCTAGTTATAACTCATAAGTATTATTCATATCTGAATAAACTCTGTATATGATTTTTATTCACATGTAATAATATTATTATTCACATATGAATAAAAGACCAATTGTACTAAAAATTGAATGCAATGTGTATTCACATGTAAATAATATACATGAGCAAATCTCATGTAAAAAGTATATAATATATAAAAAAAAAATATATCAATATTAATGTCGATTTATAGAGAATATAAAATTATAAATTTTGATATATACAGAAATTTTTTTGATAAAAATAGCACTAAAAATAGAAGTCTTCGAAAATACTTTTATTATTTTTTATTTATTGTATTTAAGAAAGAGGTTGAAGAAAAAATTATTTCTATTTAATTTTCCAAAATACTCATAATTTTATTTTGAATATGTTTATAGATCCAATCCATATAGACACAAGTCAACTGACAACTGGATCAACAGATTAGTTTGTTTACATATAAATGGATCTCATGTGAGATGAGGATCAAGATCCAATTCTAAATAACACACTAGCTAGTGTATTTGTTTCTTTACAGCATTTAAGGAAGCATGCGTACCCATCTATATATACCAATCCTATAAAGGTTGCAGCTTTTTAAACAATGAGTGAAATTGCAGACTCGTGGATGGCTTTCTTTGGCTTCAACATTTTTCCTCTCTCCATTGAATCATTGTCCCGGAAAGTGCAGATTCCTGCTTGCTTCAAGGTTGTATAGAGATGATCTGTGAAACCGTTACGAGTGTCTTCGCCTCGAAAACTTAAAAGAAACATCATAACTAAAACAAGGTTAAGCAATAGCCATGGAATTAGATGAATGAAATCTAGATAGCATAGTTGTTGGTCAACGTGGTAAAATCTGAGAAGAAGGTTGGAATGAGAAAAGTCAGATATCAAGTTTACTTGAATGGTATAAGAGCATCCGCGTCGGTTCTGTGATATGTCAAAAGAATTGCATACTCACTTTGAAAACTGCGTGTAGGAAAATATTATTTCAAAAATGGAAAGACTTGCAAGATGGTTGATGGTCCCACTCACACATATAATAATACATTAGTTATATAATAATAATGTGTAAGACTCATTTATTTTGAATTTATTTAAAAGAAAAATTAAATATGTAATTTTAAACATTTGAAGTTTGAATTTATAAAAGTGACAACAAATATTGAAGTATTAAAATTAAAGTGTTTTTTTCTTTTTTAAAATTTTAAAAAATAATTTAGATAAATAAACAAAAGAAACTAGTGAGGCTTTAATTTAGTAATTTTGAAATTAAAAGGAAAGTTCATTAATGAAATTGATATGGATTTATTATTACTTTTAAATATTATATAAAATTTAATAAAATGGAGAAACCATAAAATGACATGTGGAAAAAAATAAAATGAAAATAATAAGAAAAAGTCATGTGACATAATACGTCAGAAGTTGATAAGTGATACATTTATTTTCATTTATTAAGGAGATTTGCAAGTCATTGATGGTTCTGTAGCATCTTAAATTATATATAGTTGTTTAGTATAATTATGTTATTATATTAATACTAGCTTTAAACGCATGGAATACAAATTAACATAACATATATAGATAATAATAACAACATAGTATAGCACTTATTTGTAGTTCAAAAATTACCAGAAAACTAGTAGGTAAAACTGAACAATGGTAATTTTATAATCGATGCAAAACCATATCTTGATTTAATGACAACAAAATTCAATCAACAAATTTTGTGTGGTAATTAGATGTGTATGTTGTGAAGGATGGATAATTATAATATAAAATTCAAAATCAAAAAGATTTCCTTCTTGAAATTTTGAGATTAGGATAAGCAAATCATAAATGCATTATTGATTTGATATTGAATGTGCAAAGAAAGGAAAAAATGGAGAAAAGAAATAGAAAAAGTGATTGTGTTAGAGGAGGAAAATATGATTGAAGAAGCAATAGGAGGAGCAAACAATGTTTTAAAAACGTGTTTGAACCAGTTGGATCGGAAATCGGGGGAGAGAGCGACTCAACTATCACCGGTTTTATGTCAATTTTTTAACCAGATTGAACCGACTGAACTGACCGATTTTTAGAAAAAATCCGGTTGAACCAGTCAAAATTAACCGGTTAAACCAGTCGAAATAAACCGAATTAAATAAAAACACATGGGAAAGAACCATTTGCATAATAAACTTTGGTGATTTTTTTTCAAATTTATTTATTTTCTTTAAATAAAAACATATGGTAAATGTTATAATATTTTTTGATGTGTTTGTATTCATCTAAAATTATATTTTGTTTCGATATTATATTTTCTTTTCTTTTCGATGTATATTGATTGATGTAAAAAACACTAAAACTTATGGTTATGTGTTATTTTAATGTATTTTGAGATCTACAACTTATTTTTATGTATATTTCTAATGTTTGAATTAGTAACGTCAAATTCATGATTTATATATGTATAGGAAAATAGAAAAAAAGATAAAGTTTATGGAAACCGATTGACCCGCCGGTCGGCGGTTGAACCGGTTAAACCGGAAACCGATCACCATACCGGTTTAACTAAAAAATCGGTTTTTAAAACTTTGCTTGGAACACTTCTCCCATAAGTACTAACCCAACAATTTAAAAACCTTAAAGTGTCCCAATTACGTTAAAACATTCTTACAAAGCTTATTTACGAATCTACAAATTAAAAAACCATGTCACTAAATTGAGTATTATTATAATTATAAAAAATAAATAAATAAAAATTACAAGCGAAGTGAATAACCATGTTGTAGAAAAGTCATCTAGCTTGTTTGACTTTGAAAACTTATTTGACCCAAAAAAGCTGTGCAATAAGCTAATATTGTTAATCCTCAATGCAATTCCATGACTTTCTTTAACACATCAAGATATAACCTCATTAAATCAATCGAGCACCAAAGGAAAAAAAAAACAACAAAATGAAACGAATACACCAACATCAAAATAAAGGCAACCAACAAAAATAGAACATAATCCAAACCGAATATTACAAAGATTCAGTATGTATATAGAAGGCAGTTGATGAGTATTATTATTGTATACTCGAAGCAGATACTTCGGTGAAAGCTGTTAAGTCAACAAACAATCCTTGGATACACACAAGCAAAGTCATTTAAACAGGATTCAACCATCAAAAACTCCTAATTAAATGTATTTTTGTAGACAACACTAATCCATACCCACCTATTCTAAGTTAAGACTCTTACACCAGGATTTCATAACACGTTATATATCTTTAACGAAAAACCCAAACATCTTTCCATATGATTTCCCATGAGGTGAGGTCTTCATCGATCCTGCAACAAAAGATTCAGTAAAATGGGCATCAGATAGATTAATCATTTCCCACAAAACATATACACATCTAGTTTTCTTTTCAGGTCGGGAATTGCTATTTTATTTTCATGCTCAAACATATATTAATCATTTTGAAAATCTAGCAGTATCATGAGCTAACTGCATTAAATAATGATATAAAGATATATAGATAACTACCACCTACAAAGATAACATGTGAAAGATAAATTCACTTAACTTACTTCTTTCTTTAAAGTACAAGCCGGAACCCCTTGGATAAAAAGTCATCTCTTTTGTTGTCATCTTTTTTCTCGATTTTCTCCTTCTTTGCACCACTTCCAGAAGGGTTACCAATGTTCACCTGAAAAAGGCTTCCTGTAAAGGTTTCAGTAACAAATAGCCTTGGCATGCCAGCAACCTTAAATCTTTTCACTGTCTTGTTCTCAAGATGATACCAGTAAAGGCTGTCAAAGTTCTTTTCAAAGAGCACTTCATCACCACTCTTGGAATACGAAACAGGCCTCAAGAAATCCAATTCCCTGATGAGCTTCACATCTGTGGTTGAAATCAACTTAGTCCATGAATCTTTGACTCCATAACTTCTCATCACCCATATGTCTACATTTTTCATGGGATAATGACAGACCATAGACAGACATCCTCCCAATATAGCCAAATTGACATGGAAATGCTCGTTTGAAAGTTCAGGTCGGGGAACCAATCGCAACTCATCATTTGTGAGGTCAAAAGCAGCAATCAGAAAATCAACCCTCTTTCCAGGTTTTTGACTCACCAACCAATGCAAAGCACCCGTAGTAAATGTATTGAAGTTTCTTCTGTAACAAAGGTAGTAAGGGAAATCCCCAACTTCTCTCCATGCATCTGTTTTTGAGCTGAAAACCTCTATCTTCGAGTGAACAAGTTCATTATGCAAGCTACAATACTGAACCAATCTCACCACCTTGTGGTCATCGTGCACATGGTCGTAACCAAAACCCTTGATGCATACTCCTCGACCAAGACCTTCTGAACATTTCGCTGGGGCTAACCGTATTTTCTTAAATTTCCGGACGATTGGATTCCAAAACGCAATTTCATTATCCGGTTCAGTCGTACACAGGCACACCACGCCGTTACAGGAACCCAGAATTACAGTTTCGAAAATTGCAAAGTATAAAGGGTTATCTATTTTGTTAACAACTTTAGCAGATGAATCTAAGTTAAGATAGCAAAGCGTTCTATCACCGCCGAAAATGATATTGAGATTAGTGTTGGTTTGGAGTGAGTGATTGAGTTGGAGCTTAATCACATAGTCGCTATCAATTAGGGCACGAAAGGTTTTGGAAACAGACCTGAATCGCAGAAGCGGAGCTACCGGCAACCATGAGAGGATTTGGGCGAGTAGATCCGGCGGCATCGGAACATCCGACATAGTTCATAGATCACTTGTGAGCATCAACTGCTTTTTGGCTTGCAAGCTTTTTACTTCTTTCAACTCATCACTTTATCGGGAACCATATGCGCATTTGCCATTTGAATGGTGTAAATAGGAACCCCAACTACCATATTAAATTCCAAATCAACCCCTGAACTTTTGAAGAATCACATGCTTGTCCTTAAAACTTACTTGGCATCGATTTTTAACATTTGTACTTTTTTTTTTTGGTAATATTCTACGTTTAATATGTTTATTAACTTTTCGGAAATGGATTTATTAAGGTAATTAAACTTTAGGTTTGTTCACATCTGGGTAATTATCTTTTTTTGTACACATCTAAGTAACAAATTTTTTGGAAGTGTTCACTTATGACCATTATGACTTAGCAGGCATAACCGGTCATATAGGTCATATATGAACACTTCTAAAAAGTTCATTACCTAGATTTGTACAAAAAAATATAGTTATCGAGACGTGAATAAACCGAAAATGTAAAAGTAAATTACACGAATGGTCCCTGTGGTTTGGATAATTAATTTTCTTATTTATGTATTTATTTTTTATATATTTAAAAAAATTAATAAACCCCACATATTTGTATCTCATCACCTTAAACCTGAAACCACATTTGAAAATTTTAAGTTAGATCCCACCAGTCACTATCCTATCTTTCATCCTCATCAACTTTTATTTTCTTTCCATCTTTAATGACATTGACGTCTTTACAATCTCTTCTTTTTTCGATCCATCAACTTTAGCGAACCAATACCACAATCCTGCTATTGGGTTGTGGTGATTGAAAATTCAATGGAGAGACAGCGGGTTGTGGTTTCAGGGTTAAGGTGAGGAGATACATATATGTGGTTTAAGGTTTAAGGTGAGGAGATATGTAACGCCCCGTTTATTTAAATAAATTAATAAATGAAAGTTCGAGACTAAACTGAAAAGGATTTCGGAGGTCAGGGTGCGTTTGGTAATTTATGGATTTAAATAGAAAAAAAAAGATTTGAAGATTAAAGGGTTTATTGGTAATTTATGGATCTATTATGAAAGGAAATTATGGAATTATTTTAAAAGATAAGTTTTGGATTAAAGTTGAAGTGGTTTTGGAAAGGAGGGATCGATTATGTCAATTTGGGTGAACTTTTAAAATAGGACGGGAGTCTAAGAACCGTCCATCCCTCCTTTGTATTGGAGCATCGTTCAAACCAAAACCCTAGGGTCACCACTCTCTAGCCGCCACCATCGTTTAGAGCACCTTAGAAGCCGGTTGCATCACCAAACCCTATCGTTGTCACTTCAGCGCCGTCGAGCATCGTCATCACTCGACTGTTACCTGAGACGTCGAGGAGTAACCGGAGGACCACCAAAGAGGAAGGAATCATCATGTTTGTCGCTGCTCGAGTCGTGAACTACCGAGAAAGTCACTGGTAAGGCCATCTGTCGCTTCTTCTTCCCATTCCCTTCGTCATTTTCGTGTTTTGATGTCGCGATTGCCGGTTGTGGGTATCAGCCGCCCTTGAATCGCCGCTTCTACTCATTCTGATGACCACGACTTCCTATTCGATGGTTAGGAGCTTGGTCTCATGTCGTTTTTGTGCATAAGGTTGCTGCCATGAGTCGAATGTGTGACTATGGGAGTTATTTGACTAGAAACCCATCGCCACCACCACAAGGTGGTGGTTGCCACCGTTTTCTGCCTCCTTCTTCCGCCACCAGCCACCGTAGGAGGTGGCTGTGTGTGTATTTATTAATTGTCAAGATTGTGTGTGTGATTTTCTTGGACAGGAACCATCACCATTGGAAATGGTGGCTGCCACTGTTGTTGCTATCGGACCTCCGTATGCCACCATGAAGTGGGTGGTCGTGTGCATTCCCGAGTAAGAAACGTATTTTGTGGTGTGTTTTGTCAAGCCGGAAGACCAAGAAAGCCACCACCACGAGCCGCCGCTGGCCACCGCTAGGGTGGTTGTGTGTGTGTGTGTGTTAAAGTAATTAGTATGTGTGCGTGTTATTTGTTGTAACTAGTAAAGCATGTAATGAAAAGAACCATAACCACCACCATGAGGTGGTGCCCGCCGCCGTCAATCGCCATTGACCACCACTACCCGAGGTGGTAGTGGGTGGTGCCCCTCAAGCAAGCCCTAATGGACCTAGCAAACCCCTAATGGGCTTATGGACTATATTTGGGTGGAAAACCCTAATTATGAGTATTTGGGCCTTAGACTTATTGGACCCACTTTTAGGCCATTGGGATTGGATTGTGTGTTGATAACTATTTCATATAGCTTATCTAGTAGAGTAAAGGACTTAATGGATTAAGTCCTTAATGTGCTAATTGAGAAAATACTAATATTTGAGAAATTATCAGGACACACATGAGAATTATTTAATAAGCGAAATATTAAATAATAATCATTGGCAGAAATTAATCTAAGCAATCATGGACTTAATGAATTAAATCCTTAATAGATTAAGTCCTTAGTAGGTTAAGCCCTTAATGGGTTAAGTAAGAAACACTTAACCCTAATTCTCATATTATGTGAAACCCTAATTTCACTTGGGATTTGTGTTGGGCCATCCAAGAATAATCAAATGGACTAGAGTAATTAGTTGGGCTTTAGGGTACGGCCCATATGAAGGATTGGGCCCAATTTGGAAAATTAGGCCATAGAAGGGCCATAGTTTGGGCCTAGATGGTTGTATGATATTGGGCACTTAGAATGAGACATGTTTGACTGGATTGAAAAATTAGGCCTTAAAGGAAGTCCATGTAGAGGTTTGGGCCCAATTTGGAAAGTTGGGCCATATGTTGGGCTTTGATCCCTAGTTGACTTTGGGCTTATGGATTGGGCCTTGGGCTTGGGTAAGCCAAGCTAGGGGTAATGTAGTAATTATCCAAAGTATGTATTTATAGTTATGTGTTAGAACCCAATTATTAATTGGGTGTTATTTTGGTGTTGATAGTTTGGGAATCTGTCATCTAGCAGCTGGGGTTGAGTTTGCGGAACTTCAGTAGTGTGGGGTTGTGTCTACGGGACTTCAGCAGTGTGAGGTGAGTTTTCCTTCCAATAGGAACGGGTCTACGGCCACAATGTCGACTCGTCTAGTTAGTAGTAGTTCCGGACTTTGGTCCGATGCAGTAGTTCAGTGTACTTGATGTCTTTGTGATTCAAGCATGTCTTTGTGTTATGTGTTCCGGACTTCGGTCCAATGCAGTATGCAGTATATGTGTTTATGCTAGTTGATATGTTTATGCTATGCTATGTTATGCTCAGTCAGTTTCCGGACTTCGGTCCGATGCAGGGGACAAGGCCCCAGTCAGTTCTAGATTTCGATCCGATGCAGTTAGTTCCGGACTTCGGTTCGATGCAGGGGACAAGGTCCCAGTCAGTTCTGGACTTCGGTCTGATGCAGAGGGCATGGCCATGGTTAGTTCTGGACTTCGGTCCGATGCATTTTTCGGACTTCGGTCCAATGCAGTGGGCAAGGCCCAATATGTGCTTTATATGTTATTGTATGGTATGTGGTAGTTTAGGGAGACTCACTAAGTTTCATGCTTACAGTTTTCAGTTTTGGTTTCAGGTACTCAGTTTTCAAAAGAGGAGCTCGGGAAGATTGCAGTGCATACACCATTTGTAGCACCTCGTTTCTGGTATGTAAATCTTATTCGAATATTTCCTATTTTAGCCTTGGACTCGGCGAGTCATAGGTCCGACTATTGTGTCCATATCCTGGACTCGGCGAGTCGCGACCCAGGTCACGTTTTAAGTTGGCGACTCGGTGAGTCCATATCCTGGACTCGGCGAGTCGCCGCTGTTGGATGAAACCCTAAGTTTCAGGGGTTTGCACCCTATTTAAACGACTTAACTGCCCCAAGCCAGCCCCCATTCACCCTTAGAGCCCTGTATCCCTCGTCCTAAGCCGTTCCTTGAGAGTTTGAGACTTTTGTGGGTGTTTTTGAAGGTTTTGAAGGAGGAAAGAAGTAGATTCAAAAGAAGGAAAGCCATCCAAGCAACTATTGTGTTCTTCCAGCAGTTCCCTTGAGGTATAACCCGTTTTCCCCATGATTCTATGCTTAAAACTTCATTTGGGTCTTTCTTGGTCAAATCCCCAAGCTTGTATGTGCATTATATGTTGTAATAAGATGTTTGGCCTCTGGATCTAGGCAAGATTGAGCTCCAGGAGCTCAGATCTGTTAGCTTGATGGCCCCATGTTGCTTGTAACCCTAGATCTACCCTTTTAAGGCATTTTGAGCCCTAAAATCCATATTGGTGAATATCCACACGTAAAGTTGGATGCATGGAATGGACTGAAATCGAGCAAATCGGTGTATTTGGTGGATGCATGGCGGCGACTCGGTGCGTCGTATAGGCGACTCGGCGAGTCTGGTCACGAGTCACCGAATTGGTCCCTTTATGATGTATCGAGTTGAGCCGTGAGTCACAGGGGGTGACTCGGTGAGTTGGGAGCTGAACTCACCCATGTAGGGACTCGGCGAGTCAATGCCCTGACTCGGCGAGTCTAAGGCAATCTTCATAGATCAAGAACAGACTCGGCGAGTTGTTCATACAACTCGGCGAGTCTTAGCATAAGTGTTCTTCGCATGAAGATGAACTCGACGAGTTGTTCATACAACTCGGCGAGTAGGATGAAGGAGTTGAATGACAGTTTAGAAGATGAACTCGTTGAGTCATAGCCTAACTCGACGAGTAGAATCAGGGACCCAGGACAATTGTCTAGACAGGGACTCGGCGAGTTGGAGATCCACTCGGCGAGTCGGGTCAACTAAAAGTTGACTCCGATTTAACTTAGGGCTAGACCAGGGGTAAAATGGTCTTTTTACCCAAAGGACAGTTAGCAGTGTATGATTAAGTATATTGTGGGAATTACAGCCGGGGAGTTTCCGGAGCAGCAGCAGCAGTAGTAGGTGATCAATTCCCACATAGACCAGCAGCTATTTCGAGGTGAGTTTCCTTCCAGTAGTAACGGG